CGTTAAGTTCCAATGAAAAGGGGAAAAATGGATAAATAAGAAAGAACAAATGTATCATTTCTAATTATTCTCTTTAATAAAACCCACCCAAAATCAGTAGATTTTTGTGTAAGATGAATAGAAATTAAAATTAAAATTTTAATATTAGTCAAAATTAAAAATTTATTTTATCTACATATTTTATGGGATCCACAACTTTTTCATTATATATTGCATTAATTTTATCAAAATATACTAAAAATATGATTTCATCCCCTGTATGATGGTTATTATATCGAAAAAAATGAAGTTTTGAATAGTGATTTTTAGGAAAATGTCCGGTTAAGAAGTAAGAAAATTCTTTGAGTTTATGAGTTAAATATTTAATTGGATAAATGTGTAATTGAAAATAATAATTAAAGGAATTTTGTTATTGGCGGAGGTGGAGGGGGCTTAATTTTTAAAAATATATATTCTCTTTTGATTTAAGCCAAACCTGATTAGTTTAGTGGCTCGACTGTAATCAGAGTATTAAGAAGCTACGTGCAGAAAAAAAAAACGCAAAAACTTCCGCCGCCGATACTCGTCTCTAGCCCAAAAGAATGGCCGCCGCCGCCGCCGCCGCCGTTTCAGAACCCTTCTCTTTCAAACTCGCCTCTCACCGGCCCAATTCCTCATCTCTCACCGCCTTCTCCTCCCTCAAACTCCCTTGCGCTGCTAATTCTCAAAACTACCACTTCAAATCCTTGAAATCGCAGCTCACTCCTCAATCCCATAACCGCATCGCCACCCCTCTCCGTTCCACTACAACCACCCCTGCTGACGTTTCCACCGTCACTACATTCCACGGCCTCTGTTACGTCGTGGGCGACAACATCGACACTGACCAAATCATCCCCGCTGAGTACCTCACCCTCGTCCCGTCCAATCCCGATGAGTATGAGAAGCTTGGTTCTTACGCCCTCATTGGTCTTCCATCTTCGTATGAAACCCGCTTCATTGACCCGGGCGAAACCAAATCCAAATACTCCATTGTAATTGGTGGAGACAATTTTGGCTGTGGCTCCTCCCGTGAGCATGCCCCTGTAGCCCTAGGCGCCTCTGGGGTGGCTGCTGTTGTTGCTGAATCGTATGCTCGGATTTTCTTTAGGAACTCCGTGGCCACTGGGGAAGTTTATCCAATGGAGTCGGAGGGAAGGCTGTGCGAGGAGTGTAAGACTGGGGACGTTGTGACCATTGAGCTTGGGGAAAGTGACAGCAAATTGATTAATCATAGCAGTGGCAAGGAGTATAAGTTGAAGCCAATTGGGGATGCCGGGCCTGTGATTGAGGCTGGTGGGATTTTCGCCTATGCAAGAAAGACCGGGATGATTCCTTCACGCTAAACCTAGTGACTAGATTTTCCAGGGTAAATATCTTTGTGCTATTTGTTTGTTATTAGCATATTTGGTAGAAGCCTATGTGTTGCAGATCAGTCAAGCTCTATTTTTTCTCCATAAGCACTGGCTGCTATGTGTTTATGTGATCATTTGATGCTAAAAGATTTCTGTTTACCCCTTTTGTGCACATTGGGTTCAGGCTTATTCAAAATTAGACGCTTTTACGAATTAACTTTATATGCTTTCTTCGAAAATTAAAGGAAAAAAAGGAACATAAAAACCACATAATATCAGTTGTGGAGTATAAGGAATTTGCATCTTGTCCATGCTATGTTTTAATTCGAATGATCTGCTGCTTGTCTGAATTGTTGACATTGAAATTTTGCTTCTCTACTTCAACAGATACTAACATGCCCTTAAGTTAAGAATATGGAAAAGTGCGTTTCCCTACTAGTAGATACGGGAAGTGGGCTACTACTTCCTGAGAGAACACGTGCTTTAATTAATTCAGTAACATATTGCTTCTCTACATCAACTGAAGTTAGTATATGGTTATATTAGTGATATGGAAAAGCCTGGTTCACTTCTAGTAGCTAATGGGAAGTGAACTACTTCCCAAAGATGCCTGTACTTTGATTAATACAAGACTCACATATTGCTTCTTTTATTTTAACAGATACTGACATGACATGACATTGTAATAATAATATGGCATCTGATTTAATTTTGTTGAGTATTTGGCTTAGTAGCAAGTAACCTACTGCAAGCAACAGACTCAAAAACATATTCTTATTAAACAATTAGGAAGAAAGAACGAAAAGAGGTAAAAGAAATAGTGTCAATTCGTGCGGATGGGATATTCATTTGGATGGGAATAAGTAGATGAGAGGTGAAAAGTCACACATCCATTTAGACCCAATCAATAATTGTGCTGCGTGTATCAATGGATTGGTCACAACTACATTTGGTCAATCCACAACTTGCATCTGGCCTAAGTGTAGTATATCTTGATATCATTTCTTTGAGTCTAATATAAATCCTTATTTGAAAAATCGACAGTTCGTCTTGTATGTTGTAGAACTCTGGTATTGCAAATGAATCAAGTGTCAAGGCTTATAATAACTTAAACATTACCCATCCTAGAATCAAATTATTTGAGTGTCGATTTCATGATTCAGTTGCCTTAAATGTTTCATACATCAGTATAATTATTTTATTCTAAAACATAGAGTACATAAAGAATTTAAATTGCAAAGTGAAATACAATTTAAAAAATTTAATGTTAATCTACTTTTAATGCTTGGAATGAAGATATTAATATTTGTAATTTTCTATAAAAGTTCATTTCAAAAATGATAGCTGGTCCACATGTTCAACCAAATATATTTCAGAATTTATTAGTATCATACCAAATCTGTTCTTTTTTCCTTTTCTCTCTCTCTCTCTCTCTCTCTCTCTCTCTCTATTTTATTTTATTTTATTTTTTGTAAAATCCTTAGATAAAATTGGAAGAAAGCAGGGGCAATCATTTTTATTTTATTTTTTTCGTTTAACATTTTATTGTCATGATCATATCACATAACAATTTATCATTCAATGGCTCGACATAAAGCAAAATTGTGACAAAAAATTTGCTGCCACTACCTATTACAGTTTGCTTGGTTGTTGCCAAATAATAGAAGCTCAC